CAGCCGAAGTATACTCTCATCAATTTTGGACCACCAAGGGATATTTAACGTGCCTAACTTGCACACGGGACCTCCGAGATTTTTCGCCCTTGTCCAAAGCTAGGTGTAGATCTTTCCTATCCGAAGATCAGGGGCGTGGCTGAAAGACAGCAGTAAGAAGGAACAAAGGAGTAGCAGTGGAAAGACTGCAGAAAGAGTCAGGAGCCCAGAGGAAGGGGCAAAGGATGTGAGGGGAGGGGGGGGCAGAAAGTGGAGACGAAAGCAGACGACAGAATATGACTCAAGAGCAGGAAAGGAGGTGAAAGGAGATAATTTTAGAGAAGAAAATTTTTTCGTCGCTTCCCAGATTCAAACCCGGGACCTTGGAATGAGAGACGAACACAGTAACCTCTGGGCCACGAGAGCCCCCTGCGGAACTATACGATGGTTCACCCCATTATTAAAAAAAACAAAGATAAAAAAAACACCAAATAAAGGCACCATCTAGATTCTCTTGGCCTACATTATACCGGTAGCGCTTTAAATACAAATCTTTAGTTAGTGAGGCGTCTCCTACACAAAGAGTAGAAGCAAAGATTGTTCAAAGAGAACTATTTGAGAAACAAAATAAAATGCATTTATCAGCAACAGCATCTATAAACGGCTGATTTTTTTTAAGGACGCTTTTTTAAAGAAAGTAAACCATCTTGTAGTGAACTAAATCTATCTTTGCTCCAAATAATAAATGACAGTGTTGCATGGCTCGTTAACTTTAAATGAATAAAAAGAACAAGCAGACTACAAAAACCTACCAAATACAGTAAAACCTGTGTAAGACGGCCACTCATTGTCAAGGAGAAAAGTGACCGTATAAGACATGTGGCCATCTTAGGCAGGACTGATCAAGATGAAGAAAACAAACTATTCCCATCTGAGGTCCCAATCAAAAGCAGCCGCATTGTTGTTATTTTTGTCGGTGGTGGTGGTGGTGGTTTGTATTTTGTTTCTAATTTTTATTTTGTTGCTGATTTCGCGCAAGGGTGACAAAAAAACGAAATGTATCAGACGAGGAAGACCGAGTGCCCTGTTAAAACAAACACATGGGTCGCCACCACTCGTAGAACGAGCGACGCTTCTGTCACAAGTTCATGTTGAGGTCCTTTGTTACTTTGTTACAGACTGGGTAAACAGTGACCACTCATCTCACTTACGATTTGTGTATGAGTTCTGAGCGGGGCTTATGGGTTATGAGGGATCACACGCTTACCTCACCAGCAGCTGAAAATTGGTGCCTATTGGTCAACAGTGGGAGGGGCCTACGCAGCATGACCGGTTGGAGGGACTACCTAACAACAACGACAAGTGATTGAATTATGACGGCTCGCCCACAACGCCAGGGGCCAATGCACAATTTACGACAAAACACAATGGAGTCACTAAGGTGGCCGTATAAGACAGGAGTTATTGCTAGTGTAATAGGGGTTGTGTGTTAAAATATGGTGGCCGCGGCCGCGTTGGACAGGTGGCCATTTTACACAGTTAAATTATATAGAAAAAACGCAAGGGGGCTAATGAAAAGTGGCCGTTTGTACAGGTGGCCGTCCTATAGAGGTGGCCGTCAGGGCAGGTTCGACTGTACTTGCATACAAAAATGAAAACGTACATCATATGGACAAACAAGTATATTGTTGCCATCACCAAAAGAAATTGAGCACCCTATTTAACCCTGTTTTGCAGGATCAGCTTTTTAAAAATTTTAGTTTTAGTAAGAGTTCTCTGGTGCATGCAAGACAAATATACGTCATAGAAGTGCAGAAGATTAGAACTGTTAATAGAGAATAACATACAAAAAAAAGGAGAGATAATGGCCACAGATGCAAGAAAGGAAAGAAGGAGCAAACCAAACAAGAGCACCCACAAACAACCCACGCTAGGTAAGCAAAAAAACATTGAGAGTTCCTTTTTTTGGCAGTTATCACATTAAGTTGTGCAAGAAACAAAAAGGCTATAACTTTGCCCATTACTTTGGACTCTGGAGAAATCTTGAAACGTATCTCACATGGAACTCCCCCACTCCCCTAACAACGAACAACACACAAACACACTCAAACGCAAACCAATATTTGGAACAAGGATACTCATTGTAGAGAAGGCTTGTGTTAGTGGTGGGAGAGTCTACTCCTTTGCCCATGGGAAGAACTACCCCATCTGGTGTTTCATAAGTGCCACTCGGGTCAGGGCACATTCTTCCAAGACCTGCAATGTCAACAGAATTGTTTAGTTAAAGAATCATATTATAGACCTGCATGTGAGGCTCAACCAGATTGTCAGAAAATTTTACGCACCCCCCCCCCCAAAAAAAAAGAGCTTTTGTGGGTGTCATAAGGAAGGACTTCCGAGTAACGAGCGACCACCCCAACAAACACAACAAAGAAGAGACCTAACCCTACCCCTACCCCTAGGCCTACCCAAAAAAAAGAACCTGCAACGAGCCTCATGTGAAAAGGCCAGCACAAGTCCAAAATGAAAAACATTTTTAAAATTAAAAAACCACACCCCAAAACAAACAAGGCTTACAAGGAGCATAATGGCCTACACCTACATATTGCTAGATCTACAATAATAGGGTTTGATATCAAATAACACAATAGAATTGGAATAAGAATCCTCCATATAGATCTAGTAAACTAAATAAATCTAGATCTAGATCTAGATCTAGAAGAACAAGTGAATAGGATCTAGGAATAGGCCTTGAACTAGAAATCCGCATCCGATTCCGAACAGAGGGGCTCAGCTGAGTCTAGATTCTAAATAAATAAATAATTCACGCACCTGATGAAATGCCTTTTACCAACATTAATATTAAAGCACAACCTTTGATAGGGTTTGACAAAATAGAATTGGAATATGAATTCTCCATTGAGGTCTATAATGATCTATATAAATCTAGATCTATCTAGATCTAGATTCTATTATCTAAGTGAGTCGGACTGGAATGAATCCACACGATCTGAACAATTGAATTTGTCAACAAAACGAAATTCAAAATGGCCGCTCGAGCACGAAACTGAAAGTAGATAATTTAGGTCGTCGTCTTTTTTCGTATTCGCATTTCTACTCAGGTTCCGACAATTATGTCGGAAACGCCGACGTCGGCAGTCGGCGGTGCGCGCGTCGGCGGTGCGCGCGTCGGCGGTCGGCACGAAAACGAAAGTGTCGACAAAGCCGACGGGAGAAAAGGGGGACGCTGGCAGTCGGCCAGGCCTCGCACTACGCACATTGACTTGATACAGGTGGGCCTAGCGATAGCATCGGCCGCCTCGCGGGTCGTGTCGCGATTGTCGGATTTCAGACGATTGTCGGCAAACATGCAGGTCTAATATTAGTACCAAGTTTACTGGTATTTCTTTAGTGCTAGATTTGCAAGCAATCGATAAACATAGATCTTGGCTTGAACGTGGCCGCATGCTCTCGTAAAACGTAAACATCGAAATGACTTTGAAAAGGCAAATAAATCTTTTTGACTTAGACTTGCAGGTTATTTGAAATTATGAGTAAGATGGGAGGAAATGGGGTATAAGAAAAGAGAGAAAAGTGACAATCGAAGACCCAGTGTCGAAAATATGTCATGAGTGCACTAGATCAAGACCACTAGTCCATTAACACTGAGAAATTAGGCTGTTGTTCTGGGTAACAAGCTCAGCTGAAAATCAGTGCTGACAGTAGGAACGCATACCCACCGGCAACAAAAGGGTTAACTTCACCTAAACCTAACTAAGCAGAATGCCAAGCCAGCCATTACATTGTGTGTTATCTAATGCGTTGAAGAGGAAGCACATTGACACATGTAGCAACGATAACATACATCCCTTCACTCGACCACAGACTCACCACACACAACTTAAGGGTACAGGCTAGATCTACCACTTAACACATTTGCAATGTAGGCCTGTACGATAAACATGTCCTTGGCCTTCAATATTATCCCTGGCTAAAGAAAGGTCATTGGCCTACCTGCATTCATATCACCCCCCCCCCCCCCCCCCCCCCCCCCCCCCCGAGCAGATAACACTCACCCTTGGTACTGTGTTTGCCTTTCGGTAACTTATTGACAAACTCAGAGTGCGTCAGCTCATACCTGAAAACAATAAAAGGGGGCATGGAGGGTGGAGAAGGCTCGTGTTTTTTAATATGTCTACTAAAAAATGGTCAGAAAGGACAAAACAAAGCTATAAAATTGAACAAACGTTAGCAAGCCTGAAAAGAAAACCTTTTATAAATGACATCATTTCCTTGTACACCTAAAGCAAAGAAAAAATCTAGGTCCTCCTAGGGTCATCAAAAATCAGAACTTTCATTGCCGCTAAAGCAGGTTCAACTGTAATTTGTGTACAATTCATGTTCATAAAAGAAAATAAGATAAAATATGAAACCACTGGATTTACCAAATTGACTCGAATGTTAAAATTGACTGAGATGTATACTAGAGTGAGGAAATAGGAAAGGAGTACAGAGAAATATATTAACACTTAGTGTCTGGTAAAAGAAAGACAGAAAGAAACAATAGACAGAAATTTAAAAAAACAATAGGACCAATCATTGGGACCCTCCAATCATGGGCGCGTGCTACAAACCAAGAAGACAAATGGGTAAATTACATGTTGCCAAGGGCGACCTCACAGAGCAGCATGACTCCGATGTTGTCCGTCTTGGACGTGCGGCAGTAGTTGGCACTCTTGGTGACCATGTCGGCAAAGTAAACACCTTTGCCGAACATGTAGCCGGTCTGAAATGGACCAAAAAGTAACACAAATTATCATGATGAAGACTAAATACAGAGAGGTAGGTATGTCTAGTCCATTAGAGTAAAGCGAAGCACATCAACAGGATAATAGTCACGATAATGATGTAGGAAAAGAGAAGATAGACAGTAAGAAACAACACAGGGGCAGAAAATGAATTAAACATACCAGGGGTATCCTTGACCCACCCCACTCCATCACAGGCAACAGGTATGTAAACAGAGACATTCATAACAGTGGCACAACTGCTCAATTTTCTATAGACTTTCCTGGGAATGGAATCCAAAATTGAAAACTTCATAGACTTTCCTAGTTGTTCAAAGCTGTGTGAGGCCTTCAACGATTCAAGAAGAAGGGGGCATTGTTCCCTCACTGCAGACGAAAGTGTTTCTGCTAGATTCTGGATAGGTATTTATCTTATGATGTGTAACATTAACACAAGAGGCAAATAAGGCCAATTTGTCCAAGAAAAAGCCAGTTGCAGTGGTTGCAAAAACAAAGTGTGATATTGTATGATACGTTCATGAGTTACTGTATGTATATACCTATGTATCTATATATTTATACCATTTAAAACAAAGTTTTTCTATGAACACCAAAATATATTGTAGTATAAAAAATGTTATATAATTATTATTTAAAGCAGGAGTCTGTCCTCACCACTGGTGCCTCTGGCGGAGCAATCCTCAAGCCCTGTGATAGAATACCAGCAAAGTTGGTGGTCCGAGAACCGTGCCACAGCAACATGCGGTTGTGTAAGTCTTTAAACGGACGGTAGGTCTGCTTCTCTCCTTCTCTTGCAATCTTGAGAACCTGTGATTGATTTATTGTTAAAGTTTAACACACCCATACACAAGTTCTAGATAATTCATGAGGCATGTCAAACCAGACTGTATGTGATCCAGCATCCTAGCAGACAAAGATACCCCATGAAATAACCTCCCAACTTGGCAACTGATCTTCTGCGAATAGTCTAATCATTACACCAGAGACATCAGTAACTATCTCTGTAAGCCTAAGGGTTCAGACACAAAGTAAATATCTCTATAACTCAGTTCTATGAAAATAAAAGCCACAATACGAGCAAAAAGAACAGCTTGGCTACACATATCAGCAGTGTAATCACATCAAATTTGCAGAGACCAGGTGCAGTACACAGTAACTCAATACATAATTGCCGTTTTCTCAAAATACTCTACACCACCGTATCAGTGTTCACCATCTCAATTATCAGTTTGAACACTGCCTTTCTAGTAATGCAGCTTCAGCACAATCCCAAAAATTAATCAGCAAAACAATAGTCTCTGTAGAGCTTTGCAGACTTGTCACAAGTTTCTTCTTACATGTGAAAAAGAGGACAATGGGTGGCACAAAAGGTCAAAATCATCAAAATCTTAACAATCTTGAGGACTGCATATAGCCTTGCAGAGAGACTTTCATCAGACAAATATCCCAAGATCAAGCTTTATATGACAGTAAGTTAATGTAGCAGGGTAACATATCCGTTCATGCAAACACTGGAGGGGGGAGGGAAAATGAAATTTTCTGTGTACAAAGTCTATCACCATATACAAGCCCCAGATGCCATAAAGGTGCAAAGTCTCTTTTAAAGGTCATGAGGACAAATTCACCTGAACAGATCTATGCGAACAAGACCTTATAAAGCTCCTAGATACAAGGCACAAAGTGAACTAAATTCCCTCTGTAACAAACCGCAAGACAAAAAACACTCACATCAAGGACTTCCAGGTCGTACATGTTGTGGGTAGAACCATGGGTATTTTTTGTGTACGTGACAAGACGTTGGAACTCTTCGGAATCGTGATCCAGAGGCTGAAAAAAAGACAGTTCCTTTATTACATAAAACTCCCAGCATAAAAACAAGCACCTCATGTACATAAAACAAAATGTCCAGGACCTGGCTGCTATCAAAAACACAAAATATATTTCATATCAATCTATGATTTACTGTTAATTCTCAGTAAAACCAGTGCCAAATTGAGTTTATGATATTCATACATCCTTTTTTGTATGTGTATGGTGAAATGCATAATAAATCCCCATGAGATAAGGTAGGATTTGGCAGACAAAATACCATGCATTTGAGTTGTTAAGCTCAATATCCGGGATATGGGGGGGGG